TGATGCATCAATTGTGAGATCGCCTACTTGATTGAAAATGAATTCTGTTCCGCTTATCCCTGCAACACCGATTCCTTCTGCACTATATCCGAAGTGTTAATGCAAATAGCTGAAAACGCCACGAAATATAATATGTTACTAAACAGTATGGTGTCTGTTGGTTATTGCATGCTATAATGTTTTGTATCGTGTTTCACATATTATCTTTTGTATTACGGTACAATAGTGGAAGTGTTTTCACATCCAGCTAATGAGTGATGACGAGGATGATGATGAAAATGCTCCCACACGGCTGTTTGAAGCTTAGCCCGACTTGACTTGATACATTCAGTTGGGCTGATGGTGTGATCAATGGGTTTTGAAGAAGCACGCAAGTCCAACGCGCGCGAGAAGTGGCAATACCGGCTGGCTAACCGAACAATCTCCTCGTGGTGCCAGCTGGGTGGTTCGGGTTGAACCCGTTCCAGCAAACAGTTCGGCGACAGTGTTCCAGGACGTGGTGGGTTTTCGCCTGGCAAGCGTTCTCCATATAAAATGCTACAAATGTCTGCTTATCAACACTGCGACATGGCGGATGTGACTCGCCACAAACTAAAGCCACTGCCCGGTGGATATCCGGTAAATGCTATCCAACCCACGGACAACAATCGCTTCTAACATTCCTAACGATTACAAACAGGCAAAAATTCTGCGGCACATTCACAAACAGGCTATACAGCTGCATTCGTACACAATTACATACGTATATACACCCATAGCTTAACTGTCATGTCAAACATGTATTTTTGTACATTTTTGATCACCCTACGTTAGCTTAACATGATCATGCCTGTAAAGGTGTGCCTCGCATTGCCAGGAATAAAAGTTTATTTATTTAGTTTATTTCTAGGTTGGGTAAGATAGACGATAACCTCTAAGTCCAGGCACGTGGCAATATCCTGCACTCTTAAAGAGCACAGCGCATGCCGCAATTGGCGAAGTAGAGGGGAAGAATGGTCCTCAGATAACATATGGCAAATAATTGTTCTTATGACTTCCGCCAGGAGTGCGAAATGAGCCATACAATATCACAGGCGTGCTCAATTTTATGGGGCAAAACGGAAATCGCACCTGAATGGACTTCGAAGCAAGCAGGAAGAGAAACTCGCGCTGAGTTTGGTATTGAAGAGTAAGAAAACACAAAAATGTAAACGCTAACCAGAAGCATTAAGCAACTCATGATGTGGAAGGTAAGGAAAACCTTCAGCGAAACTGTAAGCAACATTGGATAGCATGCAAATAAACAACCCGGGAGCGAACTCAAGCAATCAAGTGAAAGGGAGATATAATCGCTCTCGTGTAACACAGGCAAAAGCGTACCGATGTGACGGAGGTGCAGCTTCAATTTGTTGGTTGCACAAATGAAGCCAAGTTAGAGTAAGGGTGATCAGCAGTTAAGAAGATCAGCTAACGCGCAAAGCACGCGCCCAATCCGGTCGGTGAACGCGAGGTCGTAGTCCAGAGGGGAGGCGACAGGTTGGCTGCGAAAACAGCAAGACGGGAGAAACTGACTTACAATAGCGTGGTATGGACAGCAGAATGCAACAGAATGGAAAATTTGGATGCAAACATTACAAAGAGACTTCACTGCCAGAGTGGAATGACGCAACCTCCAATAAAATTAAGAGAAAGACGAGAGCGAATGATACGCAGTCAACTCACACAGGCTTGCCAGGCGCCAAAGGTAGAGTTCCCCTACAGACGCCAAAATAAGAACTACACCTGTTGAGAAAAAACACTATGGGTGCGATATTCAAATGCAACATGTGCAAAAGCAATCACCGGACCCAGAACAATTTTTCAGTTATTGTTTAATTGTACTTATTTATTCGTTGAGTACCCGGGAGTAAACGCAAACACGCAGAACGCTAAGGATCGTCAGAATGAGAACCAGTGTTGCGAAGGTGAATCTAGCTCCTTTAATTAAGCAAGCGGTACCGTTTTCCTACCTCCATTATCTTCCCTGGTCAAGCGGTGTGTGTTCGGACGGAATACACCTTGTTCGTGCGGCCCGTCTGACTTTTTCCTTGTGCGTTGCCGGTCGCCTGCTGTGCTTCTCGTGTGATCCCGCTGCTTGCCTTACGCCTACATCGATTTCGCTTTTCAGTCCCACGCTTCGCTCGAATCCACGTTACATAATTGGTGTCAGTGGTGCCCTTCCAATGGCAGATTTTGATAAAGACGAACTACCCGTGATCCCTCCATCCGGTTTGGTGCATACAGCAGTGTGTTGTGTGGGCAACATGCGACCCCCTTTACGTCAGCCAAGTGTTTTCACTCCTGGTGATGACTTCGATGTATGGGAGGACAGAATGCACGCTTACTTGACAGACGTGGCTCCGCGCGATCATCCTCAATGTATTATGAGCTTTCTGAGTGATGAGGCCGCACGTCAGCTGCTAGCATGCAGCTTACCACCAAGTGTAACTCCGGAAACAATTTGGAAACGTCTCCGTACTCTCCCCTCTGCCAGAACTTTTGACGCTGCATTTCTAAAGTCCTTCTACGCTCGGGAACAGTTACCCTCTGGAAGTGTGCACCGTTACGTTGGGAACTTGCGAGAATTATCTGCGAAGGCCTTTCACGATGCAACAGACCGTGAGCTGGAAGATCACATCCTTCGACGTTTCCGCGTTGAAGTCAACAATCACGATTTGCTTTCGAAGTTCAGTCGGAAACTCCCGCGAACACTCGACGCTATCGAGACTGCGCTAACTTACAAAGAGTGTCGAACAATTGCAGTCCTGCGTACAATTAAACGTGCTCTCCCATAAAACCGATATAAAACAGCCTGCCCACATTCCGTGTATCGACCGGCAACCCCGTCATCTTAAGCCACTCCGTGGTCGTGTCAATTGCCCCTATTGCCGCAGATTCGGTAACAAAGCCCAGCGATGCGGCCACAACCCACCCTTGAAACTACCAAGGAACCACGATGAGTCACCCTCCTTTTCCGTGGTACCTATATGCTTTTCTGCATGCAGTGCGGTCGTATCACCCTTTATAGTACCAGGCCTAATAGACAGTCGTCCCGCTAGTATGCTCATTGATACGGGTGCAACTTGCTGCACTTTGCGTACAAACGTTTTTGGTCCTATACGCAGCTTAGAACCGGACATGAGCACTCATCTAACGGCAGCAAATGGGGCACGTATTCCTACGCACGGTTGTACAAGTCGGCAAGTCAACTTGGAATCACTTAATGTTTTATGTGATTTTATCCTCACTCCGATTGCCTGGAATGCTATATTAGGCATCAACTTCCTCGAGACTCACCGAACCTGCATCGATGTTAAAAACCGATCAGTTAGCTTCCGAAACAAAAGTTCTTCTGCACATTGCCTACAACTATCTGTAACTCAGTCATGTTGCTCGGAACCTGCTGATAATCTAGTTTACTAGACGACCTTGAGGCCGAACACAGCTGCAAAGAAAGTCTCACTCTTCTTTTGCAACGATTTCTCGACGTTTTTGATGTAAACCGCAGCTGTCTGAGAAGAACCAACGTATTGCGACATCGAATAGACACGATGGGTCGCCACCCAGTGCGACAATAGTGTAGACGTTTGTACATCCATTACCAGCCGCAGTTAAATGAAATGATAAAACATGCTAGACAAAAGGATTATTCAGCCGTCGACCTCTTCTTGGGCTTCTCCGATAGTCCTTGTCAAGAAGAAAGACGGCGGATTACGCTTGTGTGTAGATTACCGCAAACTGAACGCAATTACTCAGCGCGACTTCTTTCCACTACTAAGAATTGACACTACTTTGGATGCCGTAGCTGGTGCCCGGTGGTTCTCACCCCTTGATTTTGCTTTCGGTTATTGGCAGGTCGAAATGTACCTATCGGATAGACTCAAGACAGCGTTTGTGATCCCCTCTGCCTTGTATGAATTCGAGACGATGCCGTTTGAACTCACGAATGCTCCTGCTACATTCCAACGATTAATGCAGAAAGTGTTGGGTTATCTTGTTCCGCGCCATTGTTTGATTTACCTCGACGATATCATTGTCCATGGTTGCACGGTAGAAGAACACAACTGCCGGCTCTAGGAGGTGCTAAGCAGGCTTCGCGATGCCGGTCAGACGTTGAAGACTAAAAAGTGCAAACTACTGCGGAAGGAAGTCCTGATTCTCGGACACAAAATATCTGACAGAGGATGCGAAGTCGAAAACTTAAAAGTCGAGCGTATTACCACTTGGCCAACTCCCTCAAGTGTACACGAGGTTCGAAACTTCCTACGTTTGTTGTCCTACTATCGAAAGTTCGGCAGGGGATTCGCTGCACTTGCAGCACCCCAGCACTGCTTGACAGAACAAGGTCGTTCATTCGTGTGAACCAACGAGTGTGCTACTACGTTTGAATCCTTGAAGGTCGCGTTATCATCACCTATATTGGTCTTGCCCGATGCGTCGAAGAATGCTGAACGCTTTCTCCTTGATACCCACGCGAGTGACAAAGCTGTAGGCTCAATATTACCGCAGACGTCAATTAGACAAGTGTGAGCGGCATTATTCTACTACGCGTGGGGAGATGCTAGCTATGGTCCACTTCTTAGGACACTTTAGACCATAGGTATTGGGTCGGCCGTTTGTGGTCCGCACGGAGCATCCCTCACTTCAACGGTCACAAAATTCCCGCGACCCACAGGGCCAGATCGCTAGATGGCAGGAGCGCCTACAAGAATATCAGCTTACTTGCAAGTATCGCCCCCGGTCGAAAACATGGTAATGCCGACGCACTGTCACGAGGTCCATCAGATGGAGAGCAAGTCGCTGCGTGGTTCACTATGGACGGAAATACTTGTGGTTAATTGCAAGCTGCGGATCCAGATATTGGAACAATTTACGATCGACAGTGTACCGGACAGAAACCAACAATACGGGAAATGATCGAAAGCTCAACAGTATCCGGAAGCCCTTGGAACCTTGGGTCCAATCTAGTAATTCTAGATAACCTCTTATATATGCAATCCAGGCAAGGCAATCCCCCAAGGCTAGTCGTTCCTCGATCGAAAATTCAGGAATTCATTGAGCGTGTACATATTGAGATAGCGCATGGTGGTCAGCGAAAGACTGAAGCAACTGTTCGTTACCGATTTGTATGGCCTCTCATACACAAAGATGTTAATGTCGTCTGTCAAAATTGTGACACCTGCCAGCACAATAAAATGACTAGCAGGTCACCCAAAGCCCCGTTGTGCCCAATACAGAGTGAAGTTGTTGACAATCCGGATACTAAAGGAAGGCAGGGTGGAAAAAGTTGTTTCAAGATAACAGGAATGAGTTCATCAGGCATGACGAGTATTGTCGATTCGGTGGTCATGACTAGGATAATAAGGTACATAGCATAACCGATGACAGATAGATAACCTGAGGGTAAATGAGCAATGTCGTTCCAATGAATTTCCAGCAACATACATTGACCCACAACATGTGCGCGCCATAATTTGCAGTGCGCGAAATGTGTGAGGTGAGGCAAATATCGAAAATTTCTAAACATCATGCATGAAAATGCAAAAATGGGAAGAAGAAGAAAAGGCAGCAGCAGCACGACGGTACGCAATACTAACGTTTCGCTGCCGCAAAACCACCACCAGTCGCACGCAGGCTAAGGATACAGGGAGGGTCACTCGGTCCCTACACAGGCTCGAACCCGTGCCCACAGATTACAAGGCAGACATGTGATTCTTAAGCCTACTGGCCGACAGCTTTCAAGTTGAGAAAAGACAAGACAATAAAATAGCAGGGAAGGGCACTGTTCCACGTGAGTACTAAGAGCAGCGCCTAGGTGGGATAGGAAATAAATATGGCTGAACCTGAAGGGGCATGGAAAACGAACCGTGGGTTCAACATGAATGTCTTCTTCAGGCGCTGCTTGGGATATGAGTTTCCGAGTTGGTGACGCTTCAGGTAGCGCAAATGGTTGGCGTAAATCATCCAACAGTTGTTTTGCACAAGTGAAATTGCCAGCCTCCGCAGCTTTAATCACCACTTCAGCAAGGTGATTACGTAAAATCAAACATGGATTAGAGCATCGCATTAGCTGAAGGCGATCAGACCAAGAGTAAGTTGGTTCGAGAAGCATGTCTTCCATCAAGCGGGCTGCGTATGCGTCCAGCCAAGTCTGCCATAGTTCAGCATCGTGAGAACGTTTTTCCGAATCAGTCATGTGCTGAAAGAAAGTAGGACAGCAATCGCAGTGGGTTAAGGTCGAGAATCGGTAAGTTGGACTGTAAGTAAAGCAGAATTGACAAATAAAAATGCATCTCAAAGGCAAGCCGATTAACTGAAACTGCTTTAAGTATTTTCTTAATTGTCTCAAAACAAAGGTTGTACTGTGTTTGATTGGACGGCCATTTTCAACTACATGTTGTGAGGATACACTGCGGCGTGCAATCTCAATGTAGACCGCGATCCACATTGAGGTGAACTTAGCCAATGCGATCACTGGGAACGTGGACGTAGCAGGTGGAAACGGTGTTACCAACCCAAAATCACTGCACACCACGACGCGTTTAGACCTCTTTTGATCTCATTGGGTGAAGATGGCAGGTTCAGGATCTGGGACCAATGGAATATTATTCGGAACCTCTATCGTTCTGGCTACCGGATCACGGCGAGCAACGCTTGTCACACTGAGATTACGTGTTGCAATGCATTCACACAACAATTAATCTAAAAGGACCCTTTAAACAGTCATTAACCGTCGCGACAAGCGTTGCCCGTCGTGACCAGGTGGCCAAATCGGTAGAGGTTCCGGCTAATATCGCAATGACCCCAAATTCGAGGCCTGCTATCTCCAGCTGATAAGATCAAAGAAGGTCGAAATAAGTCGCAGCGCGCAAGGTTTTCGGAAGGGTAACACCCAACTTCCACCGTACTTTATCTGTTTGTACGCCAAGTGCGGGAAAGTTTAGGTACAGTCCCATGATGTTGCAAGTCTGGTGATACAGGACACGAACACCGATATAGCTTGGCTAATGTGGCGCAGACAGTCCCTAGAAGTTGACGCAATAAACGGCAAAGGGTTCGTGTCAGTACCAGTATTATAAAACACCATGGTTACTTAATACCATAAAGATTGTCGTGTCTAATACCGTTTCGCGGCGTTTGATTCTGCCACATAACGCACACCGTGAAGCCTGAGACCAAGATGAGAACAGTGAACAGATAGTCCGGTTCAGTAACCGAATACACAAGAGGCGATAAGGATTGTGGTGGTACCAGTGCCGACGATCATACGGTGTTAATGGCGGGTCAAGAGGCATGACTAAGTTGGGCGAAATTAGCGACAGACGGGGAATTTCCCCCGTTTTTCCATTTCTCCAACCCGAGCATGGGCTAGTGGTTCATCATCACAGTATCACATAGAAGGTGAGATAGATATTTCAACGATTGTGCCGCAACACAAAATGATAAGATATACAAAAAACCAGTAGTACACATTATAGAATATAAAAATGCACCGCTTAGTAACATATTATGATACAGGTGAGAGATGGTGGAGGCAGAAAATAAATTGGATAGAGGACAAGAAAACCCACAACATAAACGCCATTGAGGTCCACTATTCGCCATGTCACCAAGTGCATCCAACCAGACGTCTTCGACGTCCCTCGGTCCCCAGCTCATCAGCCGGGAGACACCAAGCGAGGCCAACTTCGAAGTGAGGGCCATCATTCCTCTTGACCAAGTCATCGCTTTGCTTCCTCCTTCTTCCATGCACACCCCCGGGCGTGCAAACAACGCACATCGCGGGATTCGGTGTGCTGGCATACGCAACACATGAACCAGCCATAGAGACTGGTGCGTGAAAGTACAGTAATGAACGGGTTCACATCCTCTTCCTGCATCAAATACGCCACATCGAACACATTCATTGGTCACGCGGTGTTTCCACTAGATATGAGCCAAATTGAGAAGGTACCGGTGGTCGAACGTAACTAGCCTCTTCACTTTGCCGATTTAATTGGCCCGGTTGCACAAATGTACAGAAGGGTCGAACGTACGGCTGCATTGTAAACTCTACTCTTCAGGGATAGAGTGATGTCGTGCCTGCGCCATAAGTGACGAAGGTTAGCAAAAGCGCCTCGAGCTTTTGTTAAACGGTTCGCGACGTCGTCTTAGATTCCACAGGCACTGATACAACTGCCTAGGTAGGGGATCTCCACCAAGGGTCAGCGCAGGGGTGGGTCTCTGCCAACCTTGGATGTAAGCTTTGCACGTTGAGGATGCAAAACATAGCCTGAAACGACTGACCGCTAGTGCAAATTTGTCCAGCGCTACTTGGCACGTTTGAAAGCTGTCACACATTAGGACAATGCCGTCGGCGTGCTCCAAGTGAAGTTGTTCAACTTGGAGCAGCTCCACCTCTTGCAGGTCGTGTCCAGTGAACGCCGTTTCTATGATTTAGTCAGTGGCGTGTCTAGGATGGTGTGCGTCAATTAATGGGCATAGTTATTACGCGTCAGTTAATTTGTTGGCAGAATTTGGGGGTGAGGCTGATCGCGGCTATTTTTGGGGGTGTTGCAATTAGTTCATCAATCTACTATACGCGTGGGGCACAGTTAGCGAGAGAAATCACGCGTCGACTAGCATTACATACGAGCGAAGCCTGGAACGTCGTGTCACTAAAGTAGGCCGAATCAGTTACTGGCGGCCAACCCAAAACACAGGGGACGAGGAGTCTACTACTGATCTACGGCGACGTCACTACAGAGGCTGAGTTGGCTTGGCCCGTAACCACTGACCACTCTGATATGAGTGGCTTTGAAGGTGCAAAAAGTACAACTCGGCATAACACAATGGATCGCTGAGGCACGCGAACCATTGCATCACGTTAGGGTCCACTGTCATTGCGATGGTGGAAGAGGAATACGCGCATAGACTGGCGGTTGGACTGAACCAAAAGTTAGTCCTTGATTGCAAAGTGCAACTAATTCCACAGCTTCACATAATCGTAGTCTGATCAGGAAGGAGCTGGCGCAGAGGCAACCTCGGCGCGAGATTGCATACAATTTCTAGACGTCATACTAAACGACGAAATGCCTGATAAAAGGATCTAGCTACCGACTGGAGAGTGCTCTCATAGTTAGATTACATCGTGTCGGTGCGGGTGTAGGGCACCAGTCTCAATTCGACTCGAAAGGTTCTGCTGAGTGAATCTAACTACCCATGGTTGGGAGCGCAAAGGAAAAGAGTCAATCACAACTCGCAGTGGCATATTTCGTGGTTCCTTTCTTCCGAGTTTATACGGATAAGGGAAATGGGTGAAGCTGCGCATGGTGCAGTGCAAGTACGAAGGTAGCCCTGTAGACGCTTGTCAGCGGATAGGCAGGCGAAACAGAAGCGTTTTCCATAATCGATTGGTAACGTCAAATAACTAAGTTGTTTTAGTGATGTTGTGTAGTAAATGCGAAAATAACGAACTGGTTTGGTTATGTACCTTACAAACCTGTAACGAAAAAACTTTGAAATGCGAAAAATATGCAATACTTTCTAGAAAACCCATTCAAAAAGCTCAACACGCCGTGCCGAATCTCATCCTAAGAAAACGATGCCCACACTGTCGCTAGCCGTTCAAGGGAACAAGAAAGGATAAGGGTACCTTCGCAGGGAGTACTGAAAAAGCAAATCAAAAAGAAGGGGAGGGCCGCACGCCAGGTTCGTGAAAACATGCGTAGATCGGAAAAAATAATTTAAGACCGAAAACAGGCCAAGAATTGAGGCACCCCATTGAACAGAGTCACAGAGATGAGAGTGTCAGTCAAGGTTGAGCGACGCAGCAAGCAGACTTGCGGGGGACCTGATATTGCTACCATACAGCACAACAGTGAAGTAATATGGTCCATCATCAACAGCAGTACATCAGCCATTTGAAGTGATGCTTCGCTGCCGAACAGGCACAACGACCTACGGAAAGAAGAATAATAAGAGAGAAGGGTGACCTGGTGTAAAACCTCAATGTGGTCCGACAAAAACCCAATCATACCTTGTATTTTTCGTAACGACGGGTCTTCTCCGCGCTCTTCAACACTTTCGGTTCATCCAACCGCTGCAGGAATCTGTGGCTAAAACCCATAATCTCCGATAGTCGTTGCCACTGCCTGTGAAGAGCAGTTGAAAGCAATGGAACATGACCCCGTTGTAGGAGCATGGAAAACAGTATTTCAGTCAAAATGTGCGACGTCTTCGATACTAAGATGTGATATGACCGAAAGGAAGCAGTTGCGATGAGACTATATCCACATAACAAGATAAAGAAAAAAGATCACTGGACGAAGTCTCCGTATAATTGTGGATGGAACGCAAATGCAGCCATACTCGCCCAGATACCTTTTGTGAGCATATAATGTCCTAAGAGTAAGGGGAGATGACGGATGCTCATGAAGAATCGTCCAATAAAGTGGTGAGGATGTAGAGATGATTCAAACGGTCTCAAGAAACTCGACGCGAGTGATTCCCGCTGGCTGCTAGATGTCGAAAGCTATTGTAATATTCTACAGAAAACACCAACAGCAAGACTGTTCTGGAAGATTTTTCTGCACGGTCTATAACAGCAAAAATCACAAGCTGTAAAAACGGGGACTAAAATAAGTTAGATGTTGGGATGATGTGACGATAACTCACTGGACTAGAAATGCGCATGATAAATTAAGGAACTTATTACGATAGCTGAGAGGAAAGGAAAACCTAAACTGCCACAGATAGAGTATAAGTGGAAAGCTAAAGATCAAAGTGAAAGATGTATCGCTAAAATGAAACGGGACCATTTCAGTTTCCATAAAATGAAGGAAAAGATGTTTGAAAAGTTGTATTCTGAATGAAAGGAACAACACTAAGCTGGCTTCTAAAGATGATCAGCCAGAAATACCAACAACCGATCATCGAGATAGTGGTACTTCCACTGCGTAGCATCCGCATATCAGAGCAACCCTTAAGGAAAAGCAAATCAGTGTTCGGGAAACAACTACTATATTCCCTGATATTTCGTCGGATCCTCATCCCCGAATTTCAAAAAGAGTGCGGTAGTAGGAGAAATCGCAAACCTCGCCGTTTCCATAGACAATTGAGCCTTTGGAAACCCATAAGGACTTTGCTGATACGCGAAGTAACCTCCTCAGTAATTCGACCATATGACACGGCTACCAAGGTAAGCGAAGCTATCCAAACTACAAGCGATTGTTAGCTGAAAGTGAGAAATGGTGGGGCATCCGCCCAATCCTGCAACAATAATTTGCATCTTGAAGGTGTAAGGTACATGCCGAAGCGTTCACTATAAGCATCACTCTATGCGGTAGTGTTTGCATAATCACTGCGTCAGACTCAAAGATAGCTATTCCGTCCACATAGTCAAGCTTTGTCAGTCCGTCACCAAGCAGAACTCCCACTCCAGGAAAAACTAAAAGAACGGAGTCAGTATGATCAATTTGATGACAAAGTTGAAGAGAAAAGGAGATATAGGACAAGTCACTTGCCATTAGGAAGTAAGAAGACAGCTGCTCGTAGACAGCCGGTAGCGGTAGTCACAGCAGAGGGGCTTCAGAATGGAAAGGAGTTTCCTTAGCACGACGTTTAGGGATAGATAGCAACACAATTTGACATGATAAACAGAGGTGAAGGCAGCTACAGGAAAAGCATCATAGTCAGTCGTCTGTAGGTGAATATCTGCTTTGGAAATTGAAAAAGAGCAAACATGTGGTTGACGCAACCAATCAGAGAGAAAGCCAGTCAGTCGGCAATCACGAGGACCAGTAAGTCATCGAAGAATGAGAATATTGGAGGAAATGGAAATAAGACTAATGCCTCAGTGATTTTCACACAAAGTGCGCTGACCATCTTTCGAGATAAGTACGGCAGTTCACAGTCACCAGTTTGAAGGCATCGCTTCAGTGCCCCAAGTCGAGCTGAGTAGAGCCGCAAGTCAAATCAACAGGGTCACTTATATCCTTAAGCAAAAATGGAGGAAGGTCGTTCGATCCAGGAGTTTTGTTTCGCTTCAACACGGAGAGTTTATTATGGATCTCTTCTAAACAAAGAGGTTTGGCATCAACATCCCACGTCAGCTCAGGTGACTCAGCAAACGACAATATTGTAGCGGGCCTGCTGAACTGCTCATCAAAATGTTCCGCCAAACGGGTTAGTCAATGGGGCTGAGAATTGATCAACTGTCCATCTTTCTCAGTTATTGTTTCACTGAGGGTTTTTCTTAGACTTGAGTTCGGGATGAGCTGAAACAACTGTTTCGCATAACACTGCCTTTCTCTATCTCACGGGTCTTTGAAACAGACCAAAGTTCCCCCTCAATTCTAAGACTCCATGTCAAGCGTCTTTTCAGGAAGTTAAAAAGCAAGCTGAAAATCAGTGTCCATTGGAAGCCGTTTTCGTGCTTCCACCAAATCGATCAGTGCTTCAGAAATCCATTCGCAGTTCGTGTGTCTCACATTCGGTGTACAACAGGCGGTAAAAGCATCTCTCGTGGCATACTTGAGACGATTCCAGTCAGTCACATTCATTACAGACAACTAGTAAGACCGTTGAATTACGGACTGTAAGTACAATTTACAAGTGAGAAGCTTAGAGGTTATGCGCTTTTTGAAATGGGAAGGGTGAGTGTCAGTTGTGCGCGCTAGAGCATGGTCGGAACGCAAGCACGTGCTCCAAATTGATCGATAGTCTTTGGCCGAGTTGTGCCATTTGCAGCTAATGACGATATGGTCCATTAGGGCCTAGGTCATCGAGGTGATACACTATGAAAGCTAAAACTGGAAAGCAGTGCTGCTAAGATAAAGATTGTGGTCGGTGCGCAGTTGAAGCAATCGATTGTAATTGAATATTCGGAGCGCATGGACTCCAAAAGCAGTTCCACAGTTGCGGTTTATAGTCCGAAAGACGAGCCACTGGCACATTCATGTTACCGGCAACAATCACGATATCAGTATTCGTCTCCATATAGAGAAGAATGTGAGGTGGCGATAGAAATCTTCATTCAGTTAGGATATGAACGAAGAGGTTAAAAGGCACTTTGTCTTCAGACGGTACTTGTTAACCCCAACAGAAATTCGAAGTTAAACAGCACACATGTAGCTATTGCGTAGATTGCCTGTAAGATGAGAGTGATATCAACACCACAAAATATCTTTAGCCATGGTCGCGAAGAGTGTAGTCATTGTCAGCAGATTCGGAGCCAAGCAGTCTAGGACTCGTCATCTGTCATCTTGTGAGCGTGTTTCGGAGACACAGTACACATCAATACTAAGAGAGCGAAGGGCGAGAGTTAGTGTTGCCAGTTAGCCGATCTAATTTAGACTGCGGACATTAAACGAACCAAGGCAAAATGAGATCCTTGGTTTTTGGGATGGGTTACATGTATCGAAAGCAGTAATTGCGAGGTCAGCGGCCGTCTGTTGCTCAATAAATGGGTAGAAGTATGAGCAGAGAAAAAAGCACGAAGAAAAGGGAGTGCCGCAGACGTTGTCGAGAACGCCGATGACTCTGACCGCCGATTGCGAAAAGGTGTCCTACCTATAGCCTGACGCACAAGGCTGTTGGAACCAAGTCCAGATAGGGAGCGCGATTGTAAAGACGCTTTGAGATCTGTTTGATGTCTGTTACAAGCAGCCTGAAAATTCAATGCAATTCAAGTGTTTTTCGGCAGTAGTTTTCAACTAGCAATAACTGTGCCTCATATACACTTCAATGGCTACGGCATTGCCAATGCGCACAGTCCGTACTATGTTACGCCTTAAGATTGGTGTCGTATTTATTCACCTACTTTACCGCAGTTGGACTAGAGTGATTTACACTTACGCTTATTCCGCAATAACATAGATCTGCCTTAAGCCAGTACTTTTTACTTACTCAGTCCGGCTCATTCTGTGCATAATCGCTGATTATTCTGCGCTTCTTTTTGTCGTTTTCGTTGCTGCAACCACGGCAAAGCGCAGGTGGGGGGGTCGGCTTGTGTGCACTAAATTGACCAGGAGCTAGCTAACTTGAGGTGGATTGTAGCAAAACATTGAGCACTAGGTAATCACTCCGACCATCAGAGGCACTGCGTGATACTGGTGCTCTATGCCGATCGAATTGTGAGCTTACAACCCATCACTTGTTATCACCAATGACTAAGATTTTAAGTAATGGGGGCAATGACCTCTCCCCAACCCCGAAGACGATTGTAATACTAAATCTGAGCCCTAACTATTGACCTCTGTGGTATGAGTGGCTCTGGAGGCTACCTAGCGTAGTTCAATGGGTCACGGAGGTGCGTAAGCCGTCGCACTACGTTAATGTTCAATCTCGTTGCGATGGACGAGGTAGCTAGGAAGGTGTTTCGCATCCGCATATTTGAAGGCAAAATGCGGTCCAAATTGTGAGATTGCTTGCGTATCAAGGACTACAGAAGTTCAGAAAGCCGGTTGCAAAAGAAGTTAACTGCAAACCGGCAGCAATCAGTAATGCAGTATACGCAAAAATCAAGGAGAGCACAACGCCGGACAACAGTAAGCATTTCCATTCGAAGATCAAGGCTGAAAGAGGAAATAAGTAGGCTAAAGAAAAAATACAAAATGATGTGCCACTGTGTACAAAATCAATGTGCTCACATGTCAGCGTCTGTTGGTGCATAAGCCTCAGCTAGTTCCGCCACGGAACAACATTCCTCAATAACTGCATCTGGATGTAAAGTCAAGCTACTGTCGTCATTCATTGAGGCAACTGCCCTCTCCAAGATTTCTTCAAGTGCTAAGAAAGTGTTGGTAAAATCAGCTCCTGTCCTTTCCATGGTGTCCAGGAGAGATTTAACTAAGCGTTCATCTTTTCTTTGAGTGTCATCGTCTTTGGGGCGGGCAAACAAGCCAAGCTGAAGGGTATGTAGAGATGAAGATGCATAAAATGGGAGCTTTAGTAGAAGACCAAAAAGTAACTCATCAGGAAAATGCGAAATGGTGATCACTTAACGGTTTGTTGTTAAACTGTTGTATCAGATTCGCGACAGAATGAGGAGAAATCTTTTATTATTTTATCCCAGCAAGGAACACAGGGGAGCTAACGATCCCGCGGGAACAACATAAGCACAAACCTACCATCAGTCTGGCAAAAGAACCCCCGTAGAGGTTGATATCTTAAACGAGCAGATGGAGACAATCGAATCCAAATATGACAACGAGAAGGCGAGTGTTGTAATGCAAGGAAAGCTAGGGTTTGAACAAGCAGTACGATAGAAAATGCGTTCGAAACACCGGTACAGACCGACAAAGAACAGATCAGTACCGGTTTTTAAATGGTAAAGATGCGTTATGCAAAGTACGTTAGCAAATTAACCGTTTCGTTCGTCTGGTTAGTGTGAAACAGAGTGCGAGTTCGCAAAACTACAGCGTACCCACCTTCTTTCGCATACGGTCTGAATAGACGAGCTGGAAAGTATCCATGAAGTGGGTATCCAGTACGTCCTTAAATTGCGAATGCAGCTCCGATTGCCTTGCGTTAAACGACGCTTTATTCGATCTATGAGTTGAGTTGGATTCAATGCTCAATATGGACTGTACCAAACACTCAGCCAGACGAGCACAATTCCACTGGCAAACCGACGGTTGTTGCGCGTAGCTGTAATGGCCACTTGTGTCCGATGAATTGCAGACATGGTCCCACATGAACCGATCCATGAATCCGAAAGGCCCATAATCAATGGTAATCCCGACAATACTCATATTATCCGTATTCAAGACACTGCGCATTAAAGATAGAGCCCAAGTCTAGTAAATGAAGTGATAAGCGAAATTTGTCAGTTCAAGCCGCATTAAATACTGCCCTGATAGTGACATGGGGATGATGCAACGAGAGGAACGGTAAGGTCTAATTTGTAGGGTAAGCATGCTGCGGAAGGTGTGCGACGAATGGCGGTAACATGGTGCCCAACGGCCTTGAAATAACGAAAATGTACTCCCAAGATTACAATCACAAATGTAGTCTATTCAGTTAAGTAAAAGTGATCAACGAAAAGCCGGGAAAGTTTATGACGCAAAACAAACGATAAGATCTCGCTGAAACATGAAAAATAGAAACAATTGGAGTTAGCAGAAGTGGGGGCTTGTGATAGAACGGTCAAATGATCAGAGGAAACATCAGGCCGCCGAGTATAGCGAGAAACATTGTGAGTCTTGCTGGTTATAGATTTAATATGTGAGTGTGGAAAGTCAGATCCTGTGCAAAACCTTAGTGATGAGGTTAATATTAACGAAACTGTGTCGCAAGACATAGTACTTGTCTGAATAAGGGTATCCAAACGCCAAAATCCCAGCATGATTCGATACTCTTCCATAAAAATGGCTGAAACAGATATAATTATATATATCAAAAGTTAAGTGTATTTCATAACCGATTAACAGATGAGGCAGTGTCGGAGTATTCTGTAGCTAGACTAGTTTGCAATCAAACAACCGTTAAGCAATACCTATAAAGTTCGTTACCACATTTTTGTATCCTAATATGTTGATGTTGGTAGCTCTGTTTTGCGAACCTGGCCGCGTGTAAGAAGTCTGAGTGCGGTGAATTCCTGCACTGCAGCTAGCGACACTCCTGGAGTAAATGACTCAAGCGTGGCAACGGAATTTTTCTGGCTTGCACGTTGTCATGCGAACCCATAATAGGTGGAAAAATGCCCCCCAAAGAATTAAACTGTGTTTGTGGTCAAAGAAATCGATGGGCGGCCATAAGAAGGTAGCTAACTGTGGCGCATCTCCCGAGAGTGTAAAATAGGGAGTAAGGAATGCTGGCACTTCATGGTCTATCAAACGCTAATTGGTGAAATTGGGCTTACCCGGTTAGATGCACTAGGTATGGCGTGTTAGCAAAAGCAACAAAACCCTGAGTATCAATCGCTTTTCTTAGCATAATGTAGCTTCCCTTTTAAACATTGAGCAACGACTGCACCAAGGCAGCACCGACGCAGAAGTTGATCAAAGAATCGTGATCTCAAGTCCACATGAAGTGGACTAATTGCAGATCACGCTATGCGGGCAACCGTCAAACCGGCAGTAGTGGTCAGTTCAAGATATGGTTTAGCAACGGAATTCGTATTTGGTAGAATCGAAAACGCAAGCGGACCTATTTCATACAACAGCTGAGAAGCAGTGCCAAAGGCAGATTCGGCAGAAGACAGGACATGAATAATGAACGAACAATTGTACATATGATAGAAGGGGATGCACTAAAGGATAGTGTCACCTCACGAACAGCGTTTCTGATATGCTTATTTAGAATAACCAACAAGTGAGTGGTAGGGGGAGTTGAACTTCTACTCAACAACCAATCAGCCGGATGACGATGTGTATTTACATAATGATGGACTTCAATTGCGGACACTGAAGGTTAATGAGGATTTCTCTGGGTATAAAAGTAGCGACATCACAACTAGTCGATAAGGCGAACCGAGTTAAATAGGCAAGAAGCCGAGTGACGGATTGACAACGCAAAAATGAACCCAGACAATAAGGTTGTAAGAAAAAAATACGCTGGATGCATTAAACCCATTGCTAACTGAAAATTGTGTAGGAAACAGTTACGTTTCCACCAAAGTGAAACACTAGACAAGGTTGTTTAATGGCTAGCAAGTAGCCCCAGTGTACAGGTAACTCATAAAGGTAATGTGGTCATTGCAGCATAAACCACCTAAAGCAAACCTGAAATAAACCCAGCGAATTCACTAAACGCATCACAAATTGTAATGAAATAAGACACCTTACCAGGCCAACAAGGAGTAGCTAATTCAAGACAACGGCGAAATTTGTACTGATCGAGGTGGTCGGTCGAAAAAGCTCACAAGACCAGTGAAACGGAGCTGAACCCGAGGGCAAATTTGAAACCAACCTAAACCGCCCTTCTCTGAACCTGCCTGGATCAGCCAGAAGAGGTTACAATTTGATACCCCCACCCGCAAAACGCAACTAGCGAGTAAACTACAAACAACACCTTCATTCCGCGCTCACTTACACAAAAACAACCATTTGCTAACAAGAACAGGCCTGAAAAAGCTGTTGAGAGATGGTAGCATACACAACGCCAAGAAGCCATGTCTGCTTAGGTGTCAAAAATTTGGATTCAGTGAGTGTGGATAATCCGCTTTTTGCACATATCGGTTCACTCATGCGAGGATAACGCATTGGGTTGCAAGTTGCGACCAGAATTGTGGATCCAGGAATTATAAAGCGAACTATTAGACCATTTTGTTTCGACCTGATTTGGTAATATAAACACAGTATCACTTCGGAAGTATTGTGGATGTCATTCCAGTTGTGCCAGGTGGGAATGGTTGACAGAGTGAGGGCGGTGAGGTCTAAAGCGCGCGATAATGCTGATGTCTCATCCGATTGGTATGTTTTTTCCGTGTGGTCCAAAGAGACCATCGAGTACACGTGACAAGCCTTCGTTGCAAACATGGCGGCAATCAGTGGATGTGAGTATGCTTGCGAGTCGATATCCAAAAACTCAGGTAAAGTTGCCCGCAAGTTAAGTAGATGATCGTCGGTTATAATCGACGATGGAATTGTGTACCCTACCGAATACGAATGATTAACAGTAATAAGGTGCAACTGCGTGCAGCATATAATGAGAAACCGGTGAGAGATTGAAGCCGCTGAAGGTAGTCGAGCATACCATAGCGCCCGGAAAAGTAGCTTGACGCCAATGCGTCTAAAAGCATCAAGAAAAGCCTATCGGATGACCGCGCTGTTGCTAAACACATCTCGATACCTACTAGGTGGAAGAAACGAATACCCGATACAATGGGAAGAGTGGAGCAGGTTGCGAAGGGTCTCACCAAGAGTCTAAGGAGTGAACAGCGCGTCACAAGGATTCGAGGTCAAGCACAATTGAGTGTAACCACAGAACTCGGTGAGAAAGTGGCGAAGACAGATTACAAGTAGAAGTGCAAGGCTCAGAACTGTCGGTATATGGTCGTCGATGGCAGCAGATGATACATATGTATCAATAACAGAAATCTTTAAGGTAAAGAATTATTTTCGGTAAACTCTCATCAGACCCAAACGTTTACATAACACTGATTGTGGGGAAAGCGTCAACTCGGGCTGGGATTGACTTCTGGGCTGTTTGAACGATCAAACTCGATAACTTGAGACAGGGATACAGATGGTAAACCAAGTGAACTAAATAAACGTGTATACACAAAGCTCAGTAGTCCGAAGTAATTAAGTAGGTAAGATAACAACCAAATAACTAAGTAACAGTGTCAGTTGGCCAAGGTAGAGTATGGGCCGTATGAATCGTTTTTGTACCCATAATTGCGGCTTCAGATGGTGGGTGGAGATAGCCTCGGCGATGGATAAGAGCTGTTTGCGGAATCCTTGCAAGAAGTGTTCAGGCAGCGAGTAGATGACTTTGAAGTCATTCTTGAAAGCTTTATGGCCACATTCAAGGAGGTGCGACATGATGGAGCTGTCTGAGGACCTCATCTCGCTTTTGTAAAACCATGCCAGGATGTGTTCACGAATCACCTGTGATAGACGCCTCGTAGTGCGACCCACGTATGTGTGGCTAGAGTCAACTGCAGTCGGGTTTGGGCGGGTCTGAACCTTATGGGCCAGAGACCGACCAATTTGAAACGAGTGGACATAATCGCCCAATGATCGACAGTACGGGTGATACAGTGCAAACCGCATTGAAACTGTACCACACTGTGGCCTCACAAAGTTGAGTAATGAGAAGAGAGTGAAATTGAAGCTTCTAAACTTCCAACGCGACGAGTACTGGGATCCAGTTGGCCAGACCCCGAACCAGTCAGCCGTCTGCCACTAGTGATTCCGGATACAATTGGTCAAGGCTACTCATGTTATTGTTAAAAGTAATGGTGGCACATCCAACTATCAACAAAAAACGGATTCGATTTCATCTTCACAGGCTCCAAACACTGGGGTGTTAGTAGATTTAGGGTTGTGAAGCCGTTCACGGCAGTTTCGAATTGGTCGTGAGTACAAGCGCGACTTTGTTCAAGATGCGAGAGTCTGGCGGTTAATTTGGAACTAAGTAAAATCACCTCAAACGCACAGTGTTGAGCGGTTCACTCACACACCCTGAACCAAATACTAGGCAGCGAACACGCTCATTGCTCACACGGTGTTAACACCAGACATAAGGCAAACTGCGAAGGCTCCGGAGGTCGAACGTAACTAACTCTCTTTTATCTGTCGTTCAGATAAGCCACCTTTAACGACCGCACAGTTGCATGGTGGATCTTACCGTTCGCGGGCGCTGATCAAGCTGCTCAGATACTTAAGTTTCTGAACTGCTAACCTTGTAGGAAAGCTTGCAAAGCGAAGCTAAATCCGAAACTACTGACAGCAAGTGCTAATGTGTCTAATGTCGCTTAGCACAGCGTACTCCAAAGCAAAAAGCAGATCACCAGAAAGAGGCCCCAAACTTTCCAAGTTGTGTTCAGTGAAAGAACCTTGCATGACTACGTCGATCGTGAAATTGAGAAGGAAAATTGACAGCGGGCATCCAGTCTCACAGCACTGGAGATAGTGGAAGGCGGTGAGTTTGCCCTAAGTCCTCGCTTTGATCGAACGTGAACTTTCCATGGAAATCGAAGCAATAGCAGGGTAACTCCAGTCGGTTGAGGCAGTTTCCTGCTCCCCGGTTGCATTGATAAATACTGCAAATCGTCCACAGGACTGAAGGAAGCCCATCAGGCAGACAGTTAGTTGATGGAAGAG